ACACGGATGCTGCGATTATATACTATGTAATCGTAGCTCTTCATCGGTCCCAGTGCTGTGAATCTGTGCTTCGCAAATTCTTCTGTCATGGTTGTGGACGGTTATCATTCACGATTCAACAGCTATTACTACAAGGCCCCAACTATATACTGGATCGCTCATTTACATCATGTAAGTTACATGTTCGGTGGTCATTCGTCCAAGTCAATAAGACTACAACTTTGACTGCCAAAGAGTCTCTGAATATGTGCGGGAAGTACCTAGGCTAGCGGGGTTCTAGAAGCATACGGATATCGGGTGGGCAGTCGGTCTGCGGCGGCGCCCGTGGCGTAGAGGTTTCTGAGGCAAGGCGGTAGGGCCTTACATATATGGCAGAGCCAATGGCTCTTTCGGTAACGGGCCGGTTAGCATGGCATTCTAACCGGCCCGCTACCGTCTCGAGAATAGCTATATCAATCCTTCCGTCGGTGTTGTTCGACTCTACGAGGGTGTTCACGCCTTCGGCTGGGCAACGCTTTTTGTCCTCCGGGGCACTGACTGACAAGTTTGATAAGCACCACTGGTAGCCAAGTAGACGGGGTGTGCTCGACGCCCGTATTTTTGGATATGATGTTATAAACCCCAAAATTTCGTCCAGCAAATTGCTGGCAGCAATTAAAGTCCCAGTACCCGGTCCAAGGCATTGGCTCGGATGGTGAAATAGCCCTCGCCGTCAATACATATTTGTAGCCCCTTAGCATCGGCGGGCCGATCCTGTGTAGGTTCTCACCCATAAGCTAGGGCTCTTTCGATTCGTGTATGGGTGAGTGCCGAAAGGCACTGCGTACGTCCCGTTCGATGCGTACACGGTCAGACCTGGCAGGTTTGGTTGAACATTGAAGCGAGCACAGCCCCAATGAGCATCGATCCTCTTGCGATCAGGGCTGTTGTCATGGCTCCTGGAAGCTTTATAATGCAATGATGTTTGGTGGCGCGGCTATTGACGCCGGTCCTTCTTAGATCATCAATCACCCATAATCACTCAATCGTCCGCGTCCTCATGACCTGGCTTCAAAGGTTTCTCGATGGCACCGATCTTGGAAGGAACGGCATTTTGTGAAAGGTTGGTCGGTTGAATCATATGTCCCTCATAGGCCATTACTTTATCTGCCGACTTGTAGTTCCTCCAGGAATCAGCAGCCTTCAGCCGCTTAAGGTATGGCCTCCACATGCCTTGGTTAGCTATCTCTGCCAGAAGTCTTGAGAAGAAGGGGGCCGTGTGTTCAAGAGTATAGCACCGCCGGACAGGAACTCCTGTAGCTGAGATGCCAGGGACTGACATGCGGAACTGACGATCGGCCACGACCGCATGTGCGTCACGTGACGTGACGTGACGTGCCGGGGAGTACGGGGCGATGCGGCCCATCTCGCACTGATACGACAGAAATGTCAGGATGTTGCTGCAGTTGCTCGCTGTATGTTCGTCGACCAGACATACGCCTGCGACATATCTACCGAACTACGCTGTCCAAGCCCCCATAGTGTCGAGAACGAAACCATTATCGCCCGAGC